TTTCTTGAAAAGTAACATAATACAATTATTTTATTTTTCTATTTATTTTATTTGAAATTATTTAATTTTATGATTAAACATTATTTATAAAAATAAATTCAATTTTACCCCCTTTTTATTTTCTCTTTATTTATATTTCTTTCTTTTATATTCTTATTATTAGATTTACATATCCTTTTCCTATCAAATTTATATATTATGTTAATGAAACAATTCTAAATTAAATTAATTATGATATTTTCTATTTTTGATAATACACTCATCATATTTATTATTTATTCATTTATTTTATTCTCTCTATTATTTATTTTCTATTTATTTCTTTAATATAATATATAATATGTTTATTTATGAATTATAATCTTTAATTTTATATCTTATTATAATTTATTATCTGATTCATTATTTAATTTATTCTTATTTATTATATTCTTATCATTATTTTATTTATTTTCATTCTTTATTTTATTCTTATTTATTGTATTATTCTTATTTATATTTAATATTGATTATTATTATGTTATAATTTTATTATTTTATCTTGTTATTTCTATTCTTTTATTTTATTTGATATAAATCTGTTTATTATTTATTTTATTAAATTAAACATTAAATATTAATTTATTCTTTCTTCAATTAAACAATTATCATCATTAATCCAATAATAATCATGACCAGATTTATTATCATTATTCTATTTCAACTACTTGGATATGCACAAATTCATTTATCACATTTATTTTTATTATATTCAAATTTATATCTTGATTCAAAATATGATAGTACACATTTTGTACTCAATTCTCATTTATCTCCATATTCATATCATCAATGTACATGTTTTATATTAATTTCTTTATCATATTTATTATCTATTTTAACTATTCTTTTATTATTTTGATTCCATTTTATTTGATATTTCTTTATTATCTTTTTTGTTTCTTCTTCATTTTCTTCTATTATTTCATCTCATATAACATATTGGTATATATTCACTCTTTCATATATTACATCTTTTATAAATTCTCTATGTTTATTTTCATTATATTTATAATTGTATTTAAATGTTTCTAAAATACTATAAATAAGTGAAAATTCTAATAGTTTGTAATCATATTGTTTTTCTGTAATTATACTTATCATTCTATTTGATAGTGATTGTCTTAATTCAATTTCTTCATCTTTACAATATGAATCACCATCATATCATACAATAATACCACTTCTCCATTCTTTTATTCATTTTGTTATAAATAAACAAGTAGAATAACAAAATGAATATGTATAAATTATTATTTCTGTTGATTTTCTTTGATGTTTTAATGGTTGAATTTGTGGTTATGAAACATATTCTGATATTTGTGTAATTTTATGTTCAACATCACCATATTTAATAATATTTGATTTGTATACATCTTCTCTGTCTTCTAATACAATATCTATAAAATACCCATGCATTATCATCTTCAGTGCTTCTACAAATACATTCTTCTATTTATATTCTTTCATCACCATAATTTCATCTTTTCTCACATGTTTTTAGATCAACAAAATATTCCATATATCATTTTTAATATTGAAAGTGTATTATCAGATTTGTTGATGAAATTAAATTTTCATCATAGTTTGGTGTTAATAATGAATCCATATTCATATTTCTTCACTTCTATCTTTATTTTCTGGAAGAATAACTTGAATTTGATATTCATTTGAATCAAATAATTCTATACAATTTTGAAGTAAGTATAATTCATTATTAATATCATATCATTTAATAACAAGAGTATTAATATTATTATTAGATA